GAAAAATAATTGTTTACTCTTATGAATATTATGGTAAATTATATTATAATAATTAATTTAATTCTGCAAACTTTTACATTAACATAAACTACATTTTGATTGTTTAATTACTGTGAAAGGAATTTCTTAATATGATTACCTTGAAGGCATACCAAAATTTAAAAATTGATTATTTTATGGTTAAAAATATATACAATTACATATAATATATGAACAATTTAATTTAGGTACCTATCACTTTCTAAATATATTTAATATTTAAAAATACTGTTGAAGTAGTTAATAAGATATTTATGATGACCTACCATGTGACTTCTTTAAACTATAAAATATGTACTTCTTATAAGATACATTTTTAATTTATATTAGTGATAAGAATTCCCCTTTATAAACAATTCAATAAAAATTTTAACTTTTTTGTGAGTACAAGGAAAACTTATAGCTTATATTTAACCATATTATTAAGTTAACAGTTATAAATATTAAGGGAACGTGATACTCGCATGCGTTGTATTTATCTCTGTCTTAAAAATGTACAGCATAGAAAAAACTGTTTTGCACGGGATAGAACTACTTCCTCGGTATTTTTAGTAGAATTACCAAAATTCCACAACGTATGGAGAACAACTTTATCTGTGTCGTAGCGTTTTTATTATTTGGATAACATAAATAAAATTAATGTTATCGGTTCGAGATCATTAGGATTTTTTTTGTTTTTTTAATTTGATTATTAAAAATTATTGGTAAATGCTATAAAAAAAAAATAAAAACTCTACGACACAGATAAAGTTGTTCCCTATGCGTTGTGGAATATTGGTAATTCTACTATCCCGGTGGTTCTATCCCACGCAGAATAGTTTTTTGTTATGTTGTACATTTGTAAGACGGAGACAACGCATACGATATCACGTCCTCTTAAGTGCTTCATAATACATGCTAAATAATATTTACTTTGTAGCTTGTGATGCTATGTTTACAATTTAATTCGAACTTTATTTTTATCTAACTTAAATAAATCTCCATACATATTATTATATTGGTGTATTTACAGTTTAAAAATTATTAATGTACATTGTGCACGTTTTTCCATAAATAAGTTGGTAATATTTTGCTTATTTTGTGAATTGGTTAGGTCCTTTTATTTATTATAACAAAATCAAACGACAATGCTAATGGTGAATTATAGATATCTGTTATCATTTGAATTTCTTATGATTTATAATAGTTTATTTAGGCGAAATTTAATCTTGAAATCGTAAATTTACATTTTATTAATGAGAAAATATTTTTTAAATACTAAATGGTAAATATTAAAAAATAAATAAATACCTAATAATAGGCACGTCAGATAAAATATAATGAAATACCTATTTTTAAATATAAACATACTAGCCTATTATAAAATATAGGGCATATAGGAAGGTACAGATTTAAAACTCTTATGTGTTGAAGCTTATACAACTTAATAGATATAGAAAGTTTCAAGTCAATAACGATTAATATCGATTGTTATTAATCCTTTAAACTTTAATATATGAGTCATGTTATAATTTATAGCATCTATTGCATAGATAGGTAATAAGTTTTTTATTAAGAGGACGCCACACAGGCATTTGTGGTCTCTGGCTTACAAACGTACGACATGGCAAATTTTACGTTCACATAATACATTTTACTGAGTAATTTCTAAAATTAGAGTGAATTTACCTCTTTTAAAATCTAAAGGTAAGATTTAGGGCATCTAGGCTTTTATTGATATTTTTATTAAGAAGCAAGTTATGACCATTTTTCTACTGTAAATTGTTTGTGAATTATTAAATATTAATAAAATCCTCCGAGATGCCCTAGAACCTAGGGCCAAAAATAATATACTTACCTTTAAATTTTTGAAGTGGTAAATTCACTCTAATTTTGGAAATTACACAATAAAATTTATAATTGTGACCGTACAATTTTCTATGTCGTATGTTTGTAAGACGGAGACAACAAATGCCCGTGTTGCGTCCTCCTAAGTCAATTCTTTTAACAGTCTAAAAGCAATAATTGTAACGTACCTAATACAAATACATAAAAATATCTCGTCGATTTACTGGTAATTTCTGTAAGAACCGCTGCCGTAAGTTTAATAAGATCATATTTTTATGTATATAATATGTACACTATATTTAGTGTTGAGCTTATAAGGATTTTGATTGAATAACACTTTAACTATATGTACGCAGACATTGTAGTAACCTATATGGCTATATCAGCTTTAAAAATCATGCTTTTTAGTTTTTAAGGGTGAATGGTGGGTGGGGTCGAAGTGTTAGAATTCACAGGTCTTATTCGGACATGGTCTGGCGATTCGACGAAGTGGCGGTAACTACATGCTAGCGAATGAGAGAGACGAAAAAAGACAGAGCGTGTGTGAGAGACCGAACGCGGGCTATACCAGGTTGTCGAACTTGATTAACGGTCTCGGCGGCAGCTATATAGGTATACGTTATTTTTTTCTTTTTCTTCTCTATTTATTATCGATTTTTTCTATTTATTTTCTTAGTAGGCCAGTAACGTGTTGCGCACAACTGGTTCGTTATTATGGCGATTCACCTATACATACTGTCGCCAATTATACACATGCGCGAACGCGAAAATTGCATGACGATGATAACGCGGGTAAAACGTCACAAGGACGAATCGCATAAACACGCTACCATATTGTGCTGAATCGGACAAGTCGGACAGTGGGTCGGCGGCGGCATTATCCAAGTTCAAACATTCTACTCCCCCGCTCGGCAAAAAATAATTGTTCAGGTATTTATACATCACTATTATGATACCACCACGGCGCCGCACTTACTTAATTTACACAGACCAAGATATATCTATAATTTTTTTATTATTTTCAGTAAATCACATTTGAAACAATAATTATGAGCGATAAATTGTAACGCAATCAATCATCAGATAAAAATATATAAATGTCGATAAACGATTAATCCGTTAATGCACCGCGTTTAGTGTTTAGTACGATCGGCGAGCTCAATCGCCGTTTGACGAACCAAAAGTATATAAAAGGTATACATAACGTGAATTTCTATTACGTATGAGTAAAAACATAAAACGGTATGTCCCTATAACATAATAGGTATATAATATAAATAATATGCATGGCGCATATAAAACTTACAGGTGGGTACGACAATAATATTAATTAAACAAGCATAAGAAATGGTACCCATAATTCTTGGTTTCCGTACGTAGTAAGGAGTTTACAATTATAACATTAATTATTAACAAATGTGTTGCAATAGAAATAACAGTGGCGGTATATTCAATTTATTTATATGGCAAAATTTCAAAATAATATGTTGTAAATTAAATTTGTAATTAACTAAATAGGTACAAATGTACAATACATACATACATACATACTTGGTACATACAAATAGCACAAATTTAGTGTAATGAAAAGGCGAGATAAAATGTATGTAAAGTTTATTTAGACGTAGTCCGAGCTAAATTTAATAACAATACTTCATAATATAATTCGTATATACTTAATTGACAATGACATAGGTAACATGTTCCATTTTTTTTTTTTTTTTTTGATTCCCTATTTGCTATCATATAAATTATTTGGTTTGATAACAAAATAATCATGACTAAAAACGACTAGATATACCTACATTATACATTATTATATATATATATTTACGTATACATTTAAGAAGGTAGTAGAGTGTGTACGCAATAAATATAAATAGTAAATCATAATATATACGCAAAAACGAGATAAATATGTATATATTGCGTGCACATCCTATTTTCACATTACTACAAGACCTACATAATATGATGACTTCAAATCATCTATGTACCTATATTTTCATAAATCAAAACTTTATTCTTTTTTTACGACATTTAACAAATTAGGTACCTACCTAATTAGATTAAACTAGATGGTGGATAATCACAAATAGAAAAACAAATTTTTTTATGAAAATGAGGTCGTTTTTTTGGGATTTCTTTGGGATACATTCGCTCAACTTACTAAGGAAGAAGTACGTTGTATAAAGTATTAAATCATACAGTTTGAAATAATTATATAGATGAAACATTATACAGAAATCAAAGACACTGTTCGTAATAATATAATATGTAATATATATATTATACACTTACACTACACATAATGAAAGATTTGTAAACATTAGAAAATATTAAAATTAATCTTCGCAGTTGTTTATCAATGTTAAGCTTTATGTCCTTATAAACGAATAACAAGAAAATTGATGTAAAGAAACTAATTACAAATATAGGTACGTAATAATTATGTTGCTATTATAGTAGATTAAATATTATGCTATAGGTTATCTCATGATAGGTTATGAAAATTAATAAAAAAAAAATTCAAATTTTAATTAACTAATTTAAATTTAATAGGTATAAATAGAGAATTATTTACTAATAAAATTTATTTTATTTTCAAAGTTAAATTTATAGACTAATATTTAAACATAAGTTGAGATATTGTTGTAGGTAGTATGTTAAGCACTTATACAGACACTTATGTGACTGAATGAATATTATCAACATATTATTATAGTTTTAACAAAATTGAACTTCAATTTTTATTCATAATTCGAAATCAACATTTTACTTAAAGACTCGGGAGTATAAGAACTACTGGTCGCTGCCTAGTTGTGGGTTCAAAAGTCTACCTAGGCTAAGAGTAGGAATGGTTGTACAATTGTGGCATTTGTGTGTATATTATTGTACTTGCATATTATATTGGCATAGGCTCCTATAAGACATCAGCTTGTCACAGTTCCCACAGGGAACATTGCCAAAAAAATAAATCCCCGTATCGTAAAAAGTCATTGAAAGGACCTTGGATGAAGGTCCCCCCGAGGATATGAAAACATAATAACAACACTGGACTTCGACTTTGGAAAACTGCGGACCGAGCCCGCCCTTTCTGACGATAAGTGCCGAGTTCAGTTGTAGGTACTGACCTGGTAACATTGTAGAATCCTGTCCGAGCCCCGACGGACGGCAGCCGTATCCACCGCATTGTGGTGACGGCTTCTGGACAAATTGCACACGAGTCTGTCGATACTGGCGCGAACGCACAACCGAGCACCGGACGTTATACGCGAAGCCATAGCACTGTACTGGACGTGTTCAACAACATCGGCGACCGAACCGCAACGACTTGTTGGTCAGCCCTACACACGGACACTGATCGACCGGCGACTGTAGCCGCCACTCATAACGGAACAATCGTGCTACACGTCGGGGAATCTCCGCGGGCCGTGCGAGGTGGTACCTATCGCCACCTTTTTCCTACCAAACGTCCAACCGACCTGTTATCACGAACCAGCAGCAGCTGCAGCAGCTGCTGTGTATCGTTCGCGGGCGACCGTGATAACGGACACGAATGCCAACGCGACGGCGCGGCTTGGCAGCTGACCGGCAGCCGCAGGTTGTCCGTCGTTCCAGCCTGCGTTACAGCTGATGTTGATTACGTCTGATAGCCGCTCTCACAGTAACAGCTGATTTTATTGTTATTGTTGTCATCGAGAAGTGATAAAACTAAACAAACATGATTAAAAAATAAAAACAACGATAAAAACGAAGAACACAAAAAAATATTGGAAAAGTCGCAATTCGCTTGTTTGCACGATACTCAATAATAGTCTGGTTCCGTGCTTGTCGTCGACCGTTAGGTGTCCGTAATTGTTTACGATCTGCGCTCGTCGTTGTCCGTCGAACGTTCAACGCTTGAGAAAGTATGATTTGATTTCGTCGGTATGGAACGACAAAGGCCAAAAACTCGAGCTCCGTCTGAGACCAAACACCCGTCTAAAGTATGTACGACATCCGCATAACGGTGTTATTTCTGAAACGAAATAAGAACTAGGACGCTTTTGTAGTTGTATATAGTTATCAATTTCTCTATGCCAAACAACAGTTTAAAATGTTGAAATGAAAAAATAGGAGCTCGTATTTTTCTCTATTTGAGTTTTACTTAGCACACAGTTTTCCGGTTCATTCAATTTTTCTATCAAGGCCGTTTGATCGTATTGTATTTCTATATACGCTCCCCCTTTTGTTATGGACTTGTTATGTAATGTGTGGATATTATACATTCTCGTTTTGTTCCAGTAGGTAACTTAATATTCATGTTTACCACTTGGACATTTTAAATGAAAATAATCTTAATTGCCTTCGATACAATATAAGTACAATGTGTGTCTCAATATCGATTGAACATTTTGTTTTGTACTTTTGTATCCTGTTGATATTTGTTCAACAAATTTTAGTTCTATTTGTATTATTTACAATATGATAATATTATTGATTGTTAATTATTGAATAGAATATAGAATGTTTGAATATTGTATGCAATATGCATTATTAATTTGTATTAACAATTATCAATAATGAACTTTAATAAATAAGAATGTTTTATCAGAGTTATATTTAAATACTTATATCAACTATTCAATATTTTTTTATTTAGGTACTTTTGAAACTATACCCAATTATTTTATGATTCTATATTGAATTTAAATATGAAAAAAAAAATAAAAAAAAAACTCAACATAGTACCTATTATTATTCTATTTTAATATTTGATCCTAAAATGATTATAATATTAACAATTTATAACCTGATTTGTATTAGGATGTGAGTACTATAACATATTTCAGTCTCTATGATTTGTTAATGTGTCTGGCCACTCTGGAAATAACTTGCAAATTTAACCTAAGTGAAAAATATTTTTAAATTTGTATGTAGTACGGAATCTAATTTAATTTAAGGAACTTACCAACAATTCCATTTAATACAATTTTTGAAACAGTTCTGAACATGCCCATGCTCAGTCTATTAATATCATCATGTTAATAATTCTAGTTTTTTGTTCAACAAAATAAATTATTTATTTTCAAACCTAATTTATAAAATATTTGAAAAGTGACAAACTTCTTGTACCTAAATCATGTTATCCTATATGGATAATTTTAACAATTTTTTTTTGGTTGCAGATACATGTTGAAGAACCAGAGCCGGTAGACAATGTACTGAATTCTTCTGCAGTAGATGATGTTGAAAATGCTCTCCATGAAGCATTCAATGATATTTTTTTAAGTACAGAACATTCAAAAGAAGTAAACGATAGTGTCAGTTATTTAAATAGTGACACTACTAATACATCTGATACAGAGAACATTGTGGAAGAACCTACTGTTAAAAATATAACACCATCATCTATACTACCAATTTCAATTCCTTGTTCTGTAGGTTCATTACCAACTCCTTGTGCTCCAATATACAATGAATTATGTAGTTCACCACCTAATGAAACGCCTTTTGAATCTTTAACTCCATTCAATGATGAACAACTGGCAGAATATTATCAAAATAAATTATTATTTGGATTACAAGAGTATATTGAAGAATTTAATCATACAGAATTAAAATATTTTCAAATTTGTGATCATCCACTCTATACATTACTTCAAGATTATTTACACGCAAGACTTAAACTTGAAAGTTCAAAACAAGAAATTAAAGAATCAAAATATTCATATGTTACACATGAGAAACATATCTGGGCATTAGAACCAGCCACATATACACAGTACGGTGAATGCCAAGTAAATATTATTAAAAGAATTGTTTTATTTGGATAAGTTAACTTTAATACTATCATGATATTATACACAAATATAATTCATCCAAAAGGGTTTTAGAATACTAATTTCTCTTTTTATAATCATTAATTAATTTTAATTATTGTTATTTCAGGATGGTAATCCAGTATCGGCTACAAAGAAATACGATATATCTAGATTCAACCAAGTAGCTTTAGACAATTTAGTGATATCTCTCAAACAGTTTCGAACTTTAGTCAACAACTATTATTGTGCCTTATATGATTGTCAAATGATCAAAGAGAAGGTTTGAGAGATTATTATTATATTTTTACTTTTTCATAGTACTTATAATGACATTATGTTAATATTATAGTTCATCAATTAAAAACCATAAAAAGTTTATTATTTATTTTTTAGATTGACTATTATTTACATGTATTATGTCAACCTTTTTCTACTTTGTCTGCGGATACTCCTGTGGGACTCTTTCTTAACTCTGATGTAAGAAGTCTACAAGGAAAAAATCTTCAGTCACCTATCAATGATCTCAAGTCTTCCATATCAATATTATTTTTATACCAAAGAAAAATAATAAACGACAAAGTTTTTATTAATGAAACAAAAAAATTGTTGGTTAAAATAATTGGTGTTTTACTTCGAGTTGCTTCGTGGAAAGATCATTTCTTTATAATGAATCACATTTTAAGGTAATCAGATTTAACTAAAAATGTATAATATTTTTAGTTGTATATCCCAAGATCTTTAACTATGGAAACATGTTGTAGTTGAAATTATTTAAAAATAGTGGGTCTGGAGAAAGAAACTATTTGACACTTATTCAAGTTGAGAGTTATGATAATTTTATAAAAAATGTTTATGTCATCAGCATACAGTAAACATTTTTAGCTTTTTCAAATGGACAGAATGAGTAAATTAATAAAATTGGACTATTAGATGTCCGGCTTAAGGAATTCCAGACTTGAATAGGTATTTCGTATTATTTAGTTTAAGTACTCAAGTACTTTAGAAATTAAGTTGTCGTCTAAGGCTTCAGATAAACCAATCATGATGATGTCGATTTGAATATATCGGTTTTTGATATACTCAGAAACATATGGGATAAAAATGTAATACTTGTGAAAGAGAATTTACTGTCCCTACTACTGCACTACTGTAGTAGTATCTAATGCAGCTTTAGACAATTAATTCAACCATTTTCCCCAAGCATAGTAAAATTGAAATAATTGGTCAGTAATTTTCTACAGTAAAAGGATCAGCTGATTCATAATGGCACTATAAAATCATAGAATTACATTCCATGACAACATATTTTGTAATATATGTATATATGTATCTCTCTTCACTCATCGGTAGATTGTATTCTTCTCATTCCCAAAAATAATAATTTATTTTATTTTATGATCCAGATGTCAAACAGGTGTTGGGAAATGGGCTAAATCTTTTATCCAAATACCTTTGATAGATTTAAACCATGAAGATGATAACTTTCATTTAGACTACATGATTACATCATTGGCTATTATCTTACTGCCAGTCCAAGCTCGAGAAAAGTTTTTAGAACAAGTAAGAAACAATACCTGTTTTATTAATTTTATACGCACATATATTTAATATTTATATTACATTTTTCAGATTTATAAAAGTGAAGAAGATACAAATGAATCTATATGGGTAGTGGTAGACAGCGAAGGAGAAGAAGATAGTTCAGGAAGTTCTCAACAAACACTCCGTGAGAGTGATATTATTGCTTTTCTCAATCAAATGCCATTTTCAGTACTCTTTAAAAAAGTATTTTATAAATTTTCTTCATAATGCTTATTATATATTACTTATAAATTATAATCAAAAGTTCTAATAAAAATAATACATTTATTTTTCTAACAGATGATTATGTTTTCTGAAAATGAAAATGTTGTACGTATAAACTTGTGGAATGAACAAGACCTATTAAGACTGATTGCTGTTGGCAGCGTTTTGGTTAAATTATTTAAATCAGGTTTGGAGACTTACTATTCTAAAAGTACCGAATATAAACAGTTTTCAAAACGACTTGGACATCTACTTCAGGATACTGTAAACTATGTTACTGATGTATTAGAAGAGTATAAGTAAGTTCGATAATATATATTATTATAAATTATTTTATTTATTAACATAATATCATTGAATTTAGAAATCATAAGTTTGTGTCTGCTAGAATACAAACAGAATATGATGCATTCTTGTTCCGTGCCGTTAGTTGTTTGTACAATAATGTTGATAGAACTACTTGGCAGTATTTAGTGATGTTGCCTTTTGGACAAGTATCTTCTCAAATGGTAGTACATCTCTTCCAATATGTACTGCACATTAAATCAGGTTCATTAAAATAACAATTTTTAAATATAAATTTTTTCTTTATAGTTTTTATCTTGTTTATAGATTTCTATGAGTGTTCATTAGAGGAACTCTCAGAATGCATTTTAAATACTTCTGATGAT